AATGTTGGGAGGTTGTGTTTACAGGTGTGATGTCACAGAGTTGTGTTTACAGGTGTGATGTCACAGAGTTGTGTGCCGATAAAAGACGTGGAGGAGAAACAGCAGTTTATCTGTTTCCTCTGACAAACGTTGCTTCAGGAGGAAACGTCATCGTCAGTGTAAACAGCAGGAAAGATTAAAACATGATTCCTGTTTTTAGAGAACTTGAAGAAATGTGTTTTTTACTGTAAATAAATTATTGAATAATCTGGTCCAGAGCAACACATGAAATGAAAACAGTGATGTTCAAATCTGCTGTGAAAGTAAAGGAGCAGATGAATATTAACTTATTTAGTCCACTTAGCACAGCGTGCATTTGATATCTGGCTATTTTCTTATTTATATTTTGTTTGGATGCATGCTACCTCTGTTTGTTGGAAGTCTGAAATTGTGATTCCTACGAGGACCAGTAGCCCAAAGCACTTTAATTTCATTTGAAGCATTTCAGTTTCTTTTTTTGTCACCTTGAAATGTGGCTAGGTATATCGATATAGGTTAGGGTTAGTAGTTCAAGTTAATAGTTAGAGTTAATAGTCTAACCATAAGTGATCTTAAGGATTACTTCTTTTTTTTCTCCTCAGGCCTGACATTATTTTATCCCTTCAGGCCAAGGACTAATCTTTTTTTTATTTTTGATGACTCATAACAGATGTGTCATTATGCTGTGAATTCTCTGTGAATAAAAGAGAAGAAAGGGATAGAAATGTAAAAAGGTTGTGTGTCTTGACTTTTTTTACAATCTACAGTAGAAGGCTCTAGCTCTATTGATTTCAATATGAACACCTAAAGTTACAGTATTTCTATTATAAAAATGTACTGCACCGGGAACCATAACTGCAACCATTATATTGTACTTTTGTTAGCCTTAAGCCTAGCTCAGTCATTATGCCATACCACATCACCTCCTGCTGTGTAATGAGCTGCAGTGAACACAACAAGATCTATTGAGAACACCAAATCCATATTTCCTGTTATTTTGGTGAAAGCAATGCAAAAGTAATGTCAAAGTAGTATAATGCCTTTCAAAGACAGTAAGATTGTAATGTAACTAATAATATGAAAATACAGTCACAAGTAATAAATAATGCATTACATAATTGAAGTAACTTGAACACTGTTCATATTGTATAAAAACACAGAGCTGAGCTGAGTCAATATTAGCTGAAGTCACATAAGTGACTCTGCACAGCTACTTTCTCCAAAAGTCTTAAAGTGTGTTTGTGCGATTAGTTGAACAAACATGTCTAAATATTGAACAACGTTGTTCTCCTCAGGTGTTTACATATTGAATGTTGGGAGGTTGTGTTTACAGGTGTGATGTCACAGAGTTGTGTTTACAGGTGTGATGTCACAGAG